ACGGTGCTCCACTATGCAGGATTGGCGATGATCGCTCGGTATTTGCTACGAAAGACCAAGCAAACCAGCTATCTCACGACCTATGCAGAGTCCTTCGACACAAAATCGGCAATTGCCGAGGAAGTGCTTTCAGGTGCGACGAAGGTGGATGGGTCGACATTGATGCAGTCATTGACGACCGGAACAACGACATATTCCCACCTAACACCTCGAGAGCGAAACGATACATGGGCATCATGGAGGTGATCAAGTGGCAGGAATCTGGAACAAGAAATCGAGATTTCAGGTCCTGGCAGCAAGGTTTCCAAGCATCATGAACCCGAACGACACGAGGGCGGCCAGGGAGGAAATGACCAAAGCTGGCATGGATCGGGACGACATCGACAGGATGTTCAACAGATGCGATGGATGGTACAGACCTTGGTGCATCCGAGTCACAACTGGTCACAGTGATTTTGGATTCATGAGCTCATCCGCACTGGCAAATAGGTATTCCGCAAGGATGGGTGATTCTCTCGGAGGAGCATTCCATGTGACTATGTGGAAAATCTGCCAAGCATCGTACGCTGTGGGTTAGTCCCCGGCGGAATCGATGGCGGTAACAGGCTAGCACTGCACTTCGGAGCGTTTGCTCCATGGGATGAGATGAACGTGGCAACGAAGGTGACGCTACGGAACGTAAGGAAAGGGGATCCGATTGCGATCATCTACATTCCCAGTGCAACCCTCGCGCGGTATGGAGCTGGAGTCGCGGCAAATGGGACATTCATGGTCTTTGACGTGATCCCGTTCTATGAGGTCAAGTCCATTTGGATTGGCAAAAGCAACGGAGGGAAACGCCTGGAGTACGTTGACATCAAGAGAGCGTACTCGAAATGTGTGGAGAACGAGATCTGTCCTGGTTTCGTCAACTCATCCCAAGAGTCGGCTGCGATGTTCCTCCAGAACGTCGCAAAGATCAACGAGAGGATGCCTGAGACCGAGGCAGGTGCCGATAATCTGCACTACATCAAGGACATGGTTGGTCGTGCATGCGATCTCCATCGGGACAACAAGATGGAGGAGTTCGATGCGCAGGTCAACGAGGTCAGGGACGAAGTCAGCAAAGTCGTCATACTGAATGACGAGACATGGGGAGGACTGAGGTGCCGGATATGTCCGTCATGTGCGACCGCAATCCCCACATGCTTCTGCTTATGCCTGGAATGTGAAGCGCAACTGATCTCCACCGGGAGGTTCTACGTCCACATTAACTCCGACGACGAGGAGGACAACCAAAAGCCCAATGTATCGGGCGATGCCAGGCGTGCGCAAGAGGAAGCCAACCATGATGCGGCAGCACAGGGGGATGATGACGAGACGGAAGAGGTTCCTGAAGAAGACGACATGGACACACAAGGATATACATCCGGCTACGTGTCTGAAGAGGAAGATAGCGGTTGGTATTACCGCGACACTGATCTGGCATCACGGGATATCATAAATTCCCAGCGGATGGCGATTTGCCTTGATGAGCCGCGCGAGGCTCAATACATGGCGGGATTCATCGCACTGCAGATGTCCAAGATGTGGGGGATGTTCGAGGGTGGTGAGGAGAGGACGATGAATGCCGCACTCGAGGGGAGGACGGGCTGCCCTTACCACAACGATTTCAAGAGATACCCCAACATCACCGAGCACGATCAGGAAGGGATCCTTTTGCCATCAACGGCACTGAAGATTTCTCAATCAGAGAATGTTCGGACAAGGGTCTTCCGATCGGTTGAGGAGCGTGAAGAGTATATTCGTATGATGGTGTGCAAATGCGAGGGACTATATACATTCTACAAGCTGTGGATTGCAGCGAGAATCCTCGATGTCACCAAGGACGAAATGAAGCTCCTGGTCGAGGACCGAGTGCACCCGGTGGGTGATATTATTTTCAGATGCTTTTCACTGGCTTTCAACTGTAAGTATATATCATTCGTGAGGGATGGCCTGAACCTTGGCAAATATGGTTACGCGGTCAATGTGAGCGCCATCATTGCGGCCATCGACCCGAACAAATGCGACACACCTCTGCTGGATTGGTGCCTTCGGAAAGGACACTGGTTACCAGAGGATCATAACAAGAAGTGTGTCCGGGCGCGAGAAGCCCAGAAGAACTTGGACGAGGAGTTCCGTCGACGCACTCACAGACTGTCCATAGGGGACAGGTATGCGTAGTGAAGATGCTGATTGCGGCACGATGTGGGTTAGTCCCCATCTGTTGCTTGCGTCTCATCAACACTATTGCGATGGAACGACCTTACATCATGATATGATTTCATGCGTCCAAGATGAATGGATGTGTACATGGTTACATATTCCGACGACTATGACATTCTGGATATTCATGGATGGAACTATTACCTCATGGATGATTTCTTTTTCATTATATATATATATATTGTTCATGGTATCTGGAATGGCTATGATTTGCATTGATTGCTCACCGATATTTCTTTGCCGGAGATATGCAGATTGCTTACGAGCAGGCGCCTCTTTTGGACTCTTATGGCCAACCCATTTTCTATGGATGACGGCTGCGCGATGCGCAAATGCGGCAGCTGGGATGTTCACTGGTGGTCAAATGACGTGACAATAGTGTATTGTATACACCTGCATATGGGAGTGCGCTTCGATTGGTGGATGAATGTTTCACTTTTCATACAATCGAACCCGGCATGTTTCACAACGAATGAACGGTGTAGTGATAGCAAGTAAAAGAATGCACGACACGATTTCGTAGCTGAAGCCGTGGCCAGTGGAACGTTTTGTGGTGTTTGGACCGCATGATGAACAATGCGACCCAAATGGGGGATGTTAAAACCCTCTAGGCCCCGTGCCTAAATTGGGAAGCTGTTCTGAGGTCTGTGTTAGTGTTGCTTACCAAGTTCCATTGATCGCCATTTGGCTCAAGACACAATTGAGGTTCAAGATCTGATGTGTAGCTGCATTCACACGTGATCGGCATTGAGAGCGGAAAACACTCCGCTTGCGCTGCGTTTGTCAGGACCACTGTTGTAACTATTATTCCTTCCCCCTTACAACGTTTACACGGGTTCGGCTATAACGGCATCGTCCGTATACACCTTTCTACGTGGTTGGTATTACAGCTGGAGGGTTCGGTGCACAGCGTCCCACGGGACGTCACCTTGCCGTCTCTTGACATTGTTGTTGTTGTTGTTGTTGTTGTTGTTGTTGTTGTTGTTGTTGTTGTTGTTGTTGTTGTTGTTGTTGTTGTTGTTGTTGTTGTTGTTGTTGTTGTTGTTGTTGTTGTTGTTGTTGTTGTTGTTGTTGTTGTTGTTGTTGTTGTTGTTGTTGTTGTTGTTGTTGTTGTTGTTGTTGTTGTTGTTGTTGTCTGTTGTTGTTGTTGTTGTTGTTGTTGTTGTTGTTGTTGTTGTTGTTGTTGTTGTTGTTGTTGTTGTTGTTGTTGTTGTTGTTGTTGTTGTTGTTGTTGTTGTTGTTGTTGTTGTTGTTGTTGTTGTTGTTGTTGTTGTTGTTGTTGTTGTTGTTGTTGTTGTTGTTGTTGTTGTTGTTGTTGTTGTTGTTGTTGTTGTTGTTGTTGTTGTTGTTGTTGTTGTTGTTGTTGTTGTTGTTGTTGTTGTTGTTGTTGTTGTTGTTGTTGTTGTTGTTGTTGTTGTTGTTGTTGTTGTTGTTGTTGTTGTTGTTGTTGTTGGTTGTTGTTGTTGGTTGTTGTTGTTGTTGTTGTTGTTGTTGTTGTTGTTGTTGTTGTTGTTGTTGTTGTTGTTGTTGTTGTTGTTGTTGTTGTTGTTGTTGTTGTTGTTGTTGTTGTTGTTGTTGTTGTTGTTGTTGTTGTTGTTGTTGTTGTTGTTGTTGTTGTTGTTGTTGTTGTTGTTGTTGTTGTTGTTGTTGTTGTTGTTGTTGTTGTTGTTGTTGTTGTTGTTGTTGTTGTTGTTGTTGTTGTTGTTGTTGTTGTTGTTGTTGTTGTTGTTGTTGTTGTTGTTGTTGTTGTTGTTGTTGTTGTTGTTGTTGTTGTTGTTGTGTGGTGGTGATGGTGGTGGTGGTGTTGGTGTTCGTGGTGTTGTTGGTGTTGGTGTTGGTTGTTTGTTGTTGTTTGTTGTTGTTTGTTTATTCTTGTTGTTGTTGGTGTTGTTGGTGGTGTTGTTGTTGTTGTTGGTGTTGGTGTTGGTGGTGTTGGTGGTGTTGGTGTTGTTGTTGTTCTTGTTGTTGTTGTTGTTGGTGGTGGTGGTGGTGGTGGTGTTGGTGTTGTTGGTGTTGTTGGTGTTGTTGGTGTTGTTGGCGTTGGTGTTGGTGTTGGTGTTGTTGCTGTTGTTGTTGTTGTTGCTGCTGCTGCTGCTGCTGTTGTTGTTGTTGTTGTGGTTGTGGTTTGTGGTTTGTGGTTGTGGTTGCGGTTGTTGTTGTTGGCTGTGGCTGTTGCTGCTGCTGCTGCTGCGCTGTGGCTGTTCTTGTTGTTGTTGTTGTTGTTGTGGTTGTTGGTGGTGGTGTTGTTGTTGGTGTTGTCATGGGTGTTGGTGTTGTTGGTGTTGTTGGCGTTGCTGGTGTTGTTGTTGGCGTTGTTGGTGTTGTTGGTGTTCTTGGTGTTGTTGGTGTTGTTGGTGTTGCTGTTGCTGTCGCTGCTGTTTCTGTTGCGGTTGCGGTTGCGCTTGCGCTTGCGCTGGTGCTGGTGATGGTGCTTGTGGTGCTGGTTGTGGTGGCGCTGGCTTTGGTCAGAACTGGGGCGGGTGTGGGTGGCTCTCGTGGTAAAGGTGATGGTGCGGGCGGCGGGCGTTATGAGGTTGCTTGGCTTTCCAACATCACCGTACGCACCAATGTCAAATGCAAACGTGTGTTTGCGTTTGGGATTGTTTGTTGCATGGCGAACTTGCTTTGTTCAATTCAACCAACCAGTCTTGGCTGGATATATGTGCTTGATACTAAGCTGACGTGGTATTGTTGCCGCCTGCTTTATGCGCTGACTATCAGTCAGCGACGGGATTGCAATCAAGTCTGCCAAGGAAAAGTCGACAGTCTGGCCAGCTTCAGAACATGCCGTCCCTGGCGCAGGCAGCAAATGGCCATCAAGGGAGATGGGGCTCCCAAGCGCAGATGCATGGCCATCCAGGCCAACATGGCCCCGCGGTTTCCCCGCATGCGCCATCGTATGGTGCACACCCAGCACACGCGGCGCAGCCGCCGCCACACCCAGCAGCGCACCCGCCCCCGCAGCCGCCCCCCCACCTAGCTGCACACTCGCCGCCACACCTAGCAGCACACCCGCCCCCGCACATGGCAGCGCAGCCGCCCCCCCACCTAGCTGCACACTCGCCGCCACACCTAGCAGCACACCCGGCGGCACATCCGGCGGCGCACCCACCGCCACATTCAGTGGCACACCCGGCAGCGCACCCAGCACATCCACCACATCCAGCAGCACACCCAGCAGCTTCTGGCCCTCAAGCACATCCAGCGCACCCGGCGCATCAAGCTCACCCATCTCCACACTCAACGCACGGGTCACATCCGGCTCCATCGCACCCATGCCACGCAGCGAACAGTTCACCCCACCTCTCGGGGTCAAAAGGACCTCAGCTGCCGCTGGAGAAGCGCGCGGCCTCGCCACCGATCTCACCTCATAGGGAGTTGGACCACCATGACGAGGAGTTAAGAGTGAAGTACTGGCTGCCACAATTCACAGAACACACGGGGTATTTGTTTGTTGAGTGTTTGGCTAAATGTGTGAGCATGCTGTTGCTGGATCTCCCATTAGTTGAAGCCTGCGGGGAAGGAAGGCTTCAACCTCGAGCAGCGGCGAAAAGCCCAAGGTAGCAATTCCGTGAATCCACCAACCTCTGCACGGCCACTTCAAGTCAGCCCCCCCCCTTTCGAGGACCCCCACACCTCTGGACAATGTACCTTGAGCCGCTCAGTTTGACGACGGCTGGGTGTGAGAATTCATAGGGTTATCTAGGAGCCCGAGAAGTTGCCAGTTACCTTAAAAAGCCACAAATTGAGAAGCGGAGTTGTAGAATGAGAATTGGAGTTTATATATAGGTATGAGTTTTTTCCGAACAGGGTGACAGTGAGTCAACTATCCAATGGTCAGCATAGCGAATTTGCACATGGACCCGAATAACCCACCCATTCCCTGATCAAAATCTCCAGAGTATGTCTCAAGATTCAGTTCGGTTGCTAAAATGGCCTTGTTCCTCGTGGTGTTCCATCAAATGCCCCAAAATGGGTGCACAATTTTGAGAAATTCACATTTGTGTGGAAACTGATTGCTACTTGCTTGAGCAAACCCCCATTGGCCAGTTTATCAGCTGGTTCTGCTTGATTTAATGGGAACTCTAGCAAGGCCCGTTAATCCCACCACCATTTGAGAAGACTCAAAAGTCAGGGGTTCTAGTGAGGCCCAGATGAACTATGACAACCGTCGAGCCAAAAAGTCAATCGCTAGGCGCTCACCAGCCGCAGGAGCTTTTGCACCGCCTCAAGGAGCGCCATGCCGACGTGGCTGCCAAGGCCTCTTTGCCCTCGTCGAAAACCTCCCACGGGGACCGGGGGGCCCTGTCCCCGCACGCAGCCCATGTGCCATGCCTGCAGAGAAACTCTGAAGGGCCAACCCAACCTACATATTATGCCACTTGTAGGCCTTATGTAGGGATGGATTATGTATAACCCAGGTATAGCCACTAATTTTGGGGTATTTTTTGGGGTATGCAAGTTGGCCCTTAGAGAAACTTGCTTCGAGCCAAGAAGAAAAGGGTATGGGTCAAAATTCAACCACCAGGGGAACCGCATTTTTGTGTCCATGTTTCCTTTTACCAGGGCAACTCATGTAGGGTACCTATTTTTGACCCACAGCCAAGACATGTTTGACCAAACATGGGGAAGTCGATTAGGCTGTTTTCGGGTTTCCTCGTCAGGAACCATTTGCTTAGTCCCTGGGTTTCGCAGCAAATCAAAGTGTTTGCTTTCTTGAGCTGCTCCGAGCAAGGTTTTTGTCAAAATGAATGTTTACATACTTATATGTGTGTCATTCCCTCTTTTTCAAAATGAATATTTACATATGTATATGTGTCATTCTCTCCTTTTGTGTCTATCAGTTTGTTTTACAACAAACGGTTTAGAATATTTTTGGATGCGACCATCTTGGTTTGACCAGCGTGGTACACAAAACACATCTGCGAGATGTTGTCTTTTGTGGGGTGTGGGGCCGTAGCTTTTTTGGATGCGTGTTCAATGGAAGCACGAGGGACATGACCCGAGTTGGGTTTGCCCCTTCATTCTGCTAAGGCAGCCCATGCTGCTCACGCGGCTGCGGTCAGCGGGGATTTGGAGCCGCCCTTGACATTGCCCCGGAAGGGGGAGGAGAGGGAAAGTACTCGTAGATTGTCCGACCCACTCTCTGAGATGGCTTCCACCCTGAAACCCCTACAGGGGCAAATGGCGGGGATACCCGTTTTATCTATATTGTGGCTATACTATTTAGCCGCTGGGGTAGTGGTTTGGGGAACCGTTAGAATGGAACCCGCCCAAAGCTGTGCTTAAGGGAGTCTCACTTGCCCTCTTCCAACCATCATGGAACTAAGCAGGTATACAGAAGTATGTTTCAAGAGAGTCATTTGCAGCCTTTCTGACTCGAACATCATTCACCTAGAGGGCTGGTACCCCCTGCAAATTCAAATGTCACTCCGGAAAGGGCCTCATGAAGGAGGTTCCTCCAGACGTTTGGCTGCTTTCTTGGATCCATTCCATGTTCTTCACGCAGGCCCACCCTGGTTGTACAGCCTTGTCCATTTACAGCCTTGTCCATTTACCCAGGGGAGCAGGGTTGTGAAGTATGGAATACCCCATATTTCCCAATATTTCCACCCTTGTCCATTACCCAATATTTCCATGTGAATTGACCTCTGTGATGTTGGATCTCTCTCCACCCCAACTTCTCCAGCAAGCATCAAGCCCCCAAATTCTCAAGCCAGCACCTCTCTTCACCACCGACTTCTCCCAGCTTCTCCCCTTATTTGCAGGCCTTTTCGGGGTGAACCCAAAAAAAACACGGCGGGAGCCCCGCCAACTCCACCCGGAATGCGGGGGGGGGCTGGGGGCCCTCAGGAGCCTCCCTTTGGGGCCCTCGGCCTGCGGAGCGCCAGGAGTCCCTGGAGCTCACGGAGGCCATGCAGACGGAGGCGGCGGCCCGGGACGTGGAGCTCCACGTGCTCCGCAAGGAGCTGGCGACGCGGCGCCTCGCCCTTCGCTTTTTTTTATCATGCGCTCGAAGGACGAACTTCTTCGGACTTGGATCAAACGCGACGCGACGCGGCGCGGAGTGTTCGAGTTCCTTTTTTGTGTTAACGTTTTGTTTGGTTCGACGTCGACTTCGCCTCGACGCTTCGAGCTTCGAAGTTGGATGCGTGCGTTCCACACGCGAGCTTCGAGCTTCGAAGTTCGACGCGAAGATGTGTGACTTAAATTGGGATCGATCTTCTTGTTGGTTCGACTGCTCGGAAGGGGATTTTTGTCGTTCGAAACGCGAAGTCCGCAGTTCGACGTGTCGAAGTTCGTTTGGTTCGACTTTTTTGGGGGGGTTCGACTGCTCGGAGGGGTTGTTGTTTTTCGACGCGAGGCTGTTGGGCAACGGAATTGGTTTTAGACTTTGGCATGTTTTGGTTGAGATTTTGAGGGGCTTTCCAAATGGAAACCAGAAGAGGTAAATAACTTTTTGCAGAGGGGTCAACCGCAACCAAGTTTGATGGTTCAACCAGCCATTGGTTTAGTGGGGTAACTGACTGGTCCTTAGCTGTTTGGCTGCTGAGTTGATTTGGTGGGGGTTCATCCCCTTAGCCGTTCGGCTTTATTGGTTGGTTTGGCGGTTGGCTTTCGCTTAACACTAAACTTTTAGCAGGGAATCTGAGCCCAGGAATCGGATCGATCCGATCCCTCGATATGAGATCCGTAAAGCCAGAAGGGAGGACCGAGCGTCTGGTGAACGGGTATCCAAGTTGGCTACAAACCGTAGGTTGGTTCGTGAATTCTCGCAGTTTTGGATTGCGAATCTCCGATCTGCTTATCTTCTGGTTGCTTGCTTGTTTGGAGGCTTCAGACAAACACACCACAACCCGTTTGCAAAGTTCTGATGGAGTTTCCGAGCTTGGTTTGCAAAGTGTGGTTTCGCGGGGTGATGTTCAAAGGGGACATGAGGAAAGCCATGGCTTTGGTTTTCCTCAGTTCGTGCGCAGAGCTTCCGAGCGGATTGAAGGCGAAGGCGGAGTAGGGCTGTTCTTTTAGAACCATCCGTTCGAACCTGGCAATGAGCATTTTGTGCGGGAGGGTCTTGTTCCCTGGCCGAAGTCAACGGGACTTTCGGAGCCTTCTGACTGCGCGATGTTGGAGCAACAATTTCTTTCTGGATTCCAGTGCCCTAGCTCTTGCAGGGGTCCTGGGTGCAGCCTGCGCCCCTTCACCTGCCGTTTTCGAGCTCAGACTTAGTGGGCGCGAGATGCCCAAGATTCGAGCAGTGCAATTGAATGGCAACTTGCTGGAGGCTGATTGCCCCAGTCATGGGTCGCTGCCGGCGAACATCGGAGAGCTAAAGGTGCTTTTGGGGGCGGCTGACCCTGTCAAGACACCTGCCTGCTTCGTGAAGCTGCTTCAGCCCGAAAATGGCATGGCCGAGTTGGCAGATATGGATGACATACCTTGGCATCAGCTGTCGGAAGACTCCAAGCTGCCCTTGACATATCTTGCTGTTGCAGACATCGAAGCCATGATGGGCATGATTCTGCCGTACCCTCGCTATGAGACCATTTCGCGTGTGCCGGAAGAGGTGGCGCAAATGTTTGTAGATGCATGGAGCTGTTTGCTGAAGTTCTCCCATGCCACAGTGAATGAAGTTGACCAGGCTGGATCCACACAGCTTGTCCAGTTGCTTGAAACGTTTGAGCGGGTAGCGGAGATGAATTTTGAGCACAGCATCAGTGATGAAGCATTCGACAACTTTCTCATCCTTCTAGTTGAGTACATCCAATGCCCAAGTTTGCAGCTGGCGACCATTGACAAGACCATCCCGTGCTTCGGAAAGCAACGACTTTGGAACCTTGTTCGAGAGAAGAAGCCCCGGCGCAACAGCCGCTCTCACGGCGGCATGCGAGGGGGTGCTCAGATCGTCCAGGCATTTGTCCAGAGGGGCTCTCGCGATCCGATCTTTGGCCCCAGGGCCAACGATGGCGACAATTTGCTTCAATACATCCTGGAACCTACCAGCCTTGGCCATGCCGGTGACAAGTCATTGGATGAAGCCCGGCTGTGCGTCACCATCGCCAGTCACAGCACTTTGGCAGATTTGTGCCATGTGAACCTTGACTGCTATTGGGTTGGATCTTTAGACTTTAACTGTTTGGTTGAAACAAGGGTGTTTTCCACTCAATCCCGAAAACGTTAAACTTTGTGCAGGGGGGTCAACAGCAACCAAGGAACGATGAGGCGATGATACCTCTCTGCTATGCGGAGGCTTTTGTGGTGGAGGCAGGGCCAGGACCGGGAGGGCTGTGGGCGGAAGTGCGCGATGCCATCAGGGATGCCATGCTGCGCTGTCTGGAGCACACCGAGCTTCAGGATTTGATTCGCTTGTCACAGCAACTGGAGCCCGTGCTGGATCAATGCACCGGTGCGTTGCGTGAGGTCGTTGACGCTTTTTGCGGCGAGTTGCAGAAGCGGTCTGCGCCTATTCCGCCCCGCTGGCTGGCGTTAGGACCTCAGCCAGCATCGCCTTGGGACTACGTGGAGCCTGGGGATGATGTGGGTGTGGTTCAAAATTAAAGAGCTAGGGCTACGCAGGTGTTTGTCCTTGTTTCCAACCAAGGTGCCATGTTGGTACATGTTTTCGAGCGGCCATGTTGAAGTGGAGGATGCTTAAAGTCAAGCTGTCAGTGAGCCGCTGCTTGTAGCGATTGGTTTTCGCGCAAGCATCAGACGGGGTCAATGCGAATTGCGGGCTTGCCTGATAGATGGCATTCTGTCCATGGCAACCAGCGCAGAAAAAGCTTTCCCAACGCGATTTGCAGTTTTGCCAGGAGCTGCACCCTTTGAAAACTGACTTCCGACTTGGGTTCTAGAGGGTGTCCAAAATTGTCAGACAAAGGACACAACACCAGTTGTAGCAAAAGTAAGACTTCAGCTGCGTGGACACAGAGAAAGCCTTTTCAGACCACACAGAGACACAAACCCACCAAATTTGCCGTTGTTTAAGTTGAACGCACTTATCTACCTGGGGATGGGGGGATAGCATGTTGTTGTTTGGGGCGCGGTGGTGCGATTTCTGAGCGGCTTTGTTGTGCTTGCTGTAGTGATTTGCAGTGCCTTAATCATGTTGATTGATTGTATAGGCTGTTCCCGTTGTCGTTTGTTGATTCCCATATCCTTCTTGAATGTGAGCAGGCCTTTTTGTGATTAGCATGTTCTTTTAGTGATTCGTGATGTGTGCTTAATTGTGTCTTGTTGTTGCGTGTGTGTGTGTGTCAGCCGATGAGCGCACATCCGCATGCAGCCGCCATTAGTTAGGACTCCCGGATCCAGCTATTGGACCTTCAAACGTGTTTGTAATTTCTGCCCCCCTGTCAATCGCCTGGTTTTGGGATTTCGTACCTTTTTCTTTTGGCTTGTCCTCTTTTTTGGACCTCGAGCAGTTTTTGGAGGCATGAGGGCTGTCAGGTCCTAATATTGGACCTACTCGAGCAGAAATTGTGTGCAAAAGCGCTCGCAACAGTCCGCAAAACGAGAACAAAAACCCGCAAACGAGCGCAAATTTGTAAAGTGCTCATTTAAAAATATAAACCTTGGGCACTTGTCATTGCTCGGGCAGAAATTGAAGAATCGAGCACTATCTGTGTGTTCGAGCAGAAAAAAAGCGAACAAGACAAAGGTATCAATGGAAGGTCCAGGTTTTATTAGACCTTCAGATTTCACCGGGACCACTAGCTATTATGTCCAGGTATCTTGTGATGGACCATCTCAGGGTCATTCCGAGTTTCCCCATGCCTGATGTGTCCCGAGATGAACCTCTGGATCTTGCGATGTTCAACCTCACGTGAGCCAAACTGGGACAGCGATTGGCAGTGACTGCCCAGCAGCCGTAAAACAAATCCCCACTTTTTGCGACAAAGCAGCACGCCCCCAAACCGAAACCGGCGCCCAATGTGTTGAACAGCTGGCCTCAACCCAGTACATGGATTTGGGCGGCCGGGGTGTGTCGATATTTCAGGGCAGCCCAACGGTCTTGTTGGGCTTGAAAGGGAACCAAAACTTGGTGGCTCCCAGCCATGCCCTTAGCCATTTAGCTTGTTAAAGGGTTTCTAAAAGCCACGCACACTTTTTGCAGGGGATCTGAGCGCAGCCCAGAAAAGTAGGCCGATAGAATGACCGGCTGGAGTGAAGGGAAGGCGGTTGCGATGGTTGTTCCGCCTGAGGAAGGAAGAGCACTTGAACTTGGAGAGCCAAATGCGCGCACCTGGGACCAAATCGCTTGCCCGAGGTGGGGATTTTTGTGGTTGCTTCAAGGGTACATGGCTGGAAACACGGGAAGAAACCTTCCATTTGCTTAAGTGTTTTACCAACCTGTTGGTTTTAAAGGGAATCCATCACTACTGGATGTTTTTCATTTTTTCCAGAGGGCGAAAACGCAAATGGAGTTGAACCGCTCAGCATATTTGGTCGAAGCAGGATGCGGCTTTGGAGCTTCCCAGGAACCCGTTTAGACCATGGTGACCTTGGCTCTCCCAGCCGTCCGGTTCCTTAGCTATTTAGCCTTTGAGTGAGTGGGAGCTTCCATTTGACCCACGAAAAGTTAAAAACTTTTAGCGGGGGATCTGAAAACGGGCAGCCCAGTGACCCATGGTGCCATGAATGTGTAGGGGGCGCTTGGATCTCAGTTCCAGACATGCGTGCACCCCACAAGCAACGTGCACGCGCGCATATGCACCCAAGTAGCAAGCAAGCAAGGAAGAGTCTAATCCAATTTGAAGGACCAATCGGAAAGAGCCAAAGATACGGATAAGAAACCGAGCAACGCACACAGCGTAACCAATTCTACATAAGCCAGCGAGCAACGAGTGAGAGAGCAAGCACAGCACAGCACAGCACAGCACAGCACAGCGCAGCACAGCACAGCACAGCACAGCACAACAGCACACACACACAAACACACAGACGCGTATTTGCTTGCGATCCGTTTGCGATGCTGCTTCATGGTTGTTAGACGGGTCCCGTATAAATTAGCCCCCACCTGGCCGATTTTCCTTTTACCTTCAAGCATGCCTGATTCTTGAGCCAGGGTTCCCCGTATTTCCCTTTAATCCAGTTGAAGCATCAAATTTTGAGTGATTGGATGAGTTTCCGCTTGGTGTGGTGCTTCAGAGCGGCACATTTATGGGGCTATTTCTTCTAGGGGAGTCGCCGAATCATACATTTTTTCCGAGACGACGCCCCTTTTGGTTACAGTAATGAACCCAAGCAATCAGCATTTTGATCAGGCAGCCGGCTTGGGGATTTGAATCCCTGGTCCTTGTAGAGGGTACATGGGAAACCCCTGCGTTTCACAACCGATTCGGCTCCAAACCACCGTTTTCAGGGGAGCTGATTCGAGGGCTGCCCGAGGGTTCCGCTATTTTTGCTGATGCTCAGGAAATCAGCGAGCGAGCCCAGGGGTTTTCTTAATGGAAACCACCACTTCGATGGTTTACAAGGGTTAAACCACCAGCTGGATGGTCTTTTTTCAGGGTCAAACCTCCTCATCCGGGGCATTTCTCATGTCTCATTCTCCTTCCCCGCATCTCTCTTGCAAGCACCGAGCGCCAGAATTTTCGACACCCGCAGACTTTTTTCCAAACAACAAACAACAAACGACACCCCCAGACGTTGAGGACAATATATCGACACCCCCAGACGATTTTTTCTTTGGTGTTTTTCGTTCTTCAAGAATTTTCGACCTCCCCCCACCTGTTTTTTTGCGAATTCGCCCCCCCCCCCCCCCCGTGTTTTTTTTTCTTTCCGAGGATAAGGAGGCGAAGCTTCGGGCGGCCACGGGCCAGGCGAGCACCTTGTCGGCCAAGGTGGAGGCCAAGGCGTGGAGAAGCGGATCGATCCGGAAAGGTCGGGGCTTGAGCAACTGGAAGGGGAGACAGGGCCCAAGAAATGTCAGCTATGTGCCTTTTTTGTTTCTTCTCGTGTTTGTTTTGTTTTCTTGTTTGTTTTTTTTTTCCATTTATTTTTTTTTCGAAAGCTATGTGTGTGTTCTATTTTTGTTATTCATATTTTTTTGTTGAACGTGTGTTCGCCTTTTTGTATCTTTTAGAGACTGCCATTGAGAAAAACATATTCACAGCCCCGCGTGTTGCTTGGCAAGGCTCCACCCGATTAGCGAGCCGAGCTAGGTTTCGACGGCAAATGTTTCTTTGTGGGTTTTGTCGTGTGCCAGACATAGTTCAGTTTAAGAAGCAGTTGCTTGGAGGGAGCGGTCAAGCCTCCATTTGACAAGCTTAAAGCTTAATTCCTTTTATTTCCATGTCCTTGGGGCAGAGCAAGTTGCGTGCAAAGTGTCGCGAGGTGTCAGCTTGCGTGTCGAACCTGCCGTCCCTAGTTCGGAAGAGTACCCTCATTTGTTTCTTTCACAAGAGCTGCGTATAGTTTCTTCTGTTTGTTCCAATATGGTGTGCAACAGACAGCTTGGGAACATAGTGGAACGCAGTAGCTCTTGGCTAAGTGTCCCAGGTCTCAAGGGGAAATGTTGATGACTCGTGGTCTCTGGGTGTGTCTTTCTTTTAGGGGCCCCTTAAACTGGTTGGTGTCCCCATAAAAGGGGTTTCCCCATAAAAAAGGGGTTCCCCCATGAAAAGACATACCCCTATCACATGGTGTAGCAGAGAACATAAGTTGAAAGTCCTCCCGGCAAGTGCTCAGGGCTCCTGCACATGGCTGCAAACTTATGCAATCGCAGGGCCACATGCTTGGCATGAAGCAGTGGGCCCTTCGATTCCCCCCCAGACTAACCTGCATGATCCTTTGGTTGTCCAGTTATGAACTAGTTGTTGGGTTTTAAGCCAGAGCTCAAGGTTTGTCAATTCAGCAGCTGTGATTTAATTGGCCAACTGATGGGTCCATTATGGCAGAAGCTACTTCCAGGTGCTTGCGGCATGTGAGAACCTTGCGCCTCGCAACTCTTGGCACAGCTTTTTGGGCGGCTTCCAAGCAGAAGAACCCTCCCAGGCATTTCCAGGTCTCAGTTCAGTATTCAGGGGTCATTATTTTGAGAAATAATGAGGCCAGTTCTGAGACTTGAAGGGATGTCAGCCTTCCCTGCCTCGAATCTAACTTGTCCAAAGCGAAATGGACCTCTTTTTGGTGTTCTGGTTTCGTCCATGTTTCGTGGCCCCAAAAGGTTGACCTGTTTTTTTTTTGTTTTTTTTGGGCAACCGGGGAGCTGGTGCAGTTTGGGGTGCTGGTGGGTGCTGCTTTGCGAGCTTGACGGCCGGGTGCTAGGGGTCATGCAGTTTGAGGTGCTGGTGGATGCTGCTTTGCGAGCTTGACGGCCGGGTGCTAGGGGGCATGCAGTTTGAGGTGCTGGTGGATGCTGCTTTGCGAGATTGAGGGCCGGGTGCTAGGGGTCATGCAGTTTGAGGTGCTGGTGGATGCTGCTTTGCGAGCTTGACGGCCGGGTGCTAGGGGGCATGCAGTTTGAGGTGCTGGTGGATGCTGCTTTGCGAGATTGAGGGCCGGGTGCTAGGGGGCATGCAGTTTGAGGTGCTGGTGGATGCTGCTTTGCGAGATTGAGGGCCGGGTGCTAGGGGGCATGCAGTTTGAGGTGCTGGTGGATGCTGCTTTGCGAGCTTGACGGCCGGGTGCTAGGGGGCATGCAGTTTGAGGTGCTGGTGGATGCTGCTTTGCGAGCTTGACGGCCGGGTGCTAGGGGGCATGCAGTTTGAGGTGCTGGTGGATGCTGCTTTGCGAGCTTGAGGCCGGGTGCTAGGGGGCATGCAGTTTGAGGTGCTGGTGGATGCTGCTTTGCGAGCTTGACGGCCGGGTGCTAGGGGGCATGCAGTTTGGGGTGCTGGTGGGAGCTGCTTTGCGAGCTTGACGGCCGGGTGCTAGGGGGCATGCAGTTTGGGGTGCTGGTAGGTGCTGCTTTGCGAGCTTGACGGCCGGGTGCTAGGGGGCATGCAGTTTGAGGTGCTGGTGGATGCTTCATTGCGAGATTGAGGGCGGGGTGCTCTGCAGTTGGGGGTGCTGGTGGGTGCTGCTTTGCGGGTGCTACGGGGCATGCAGTTTGGGGTGCTGGTAGATGCTGCTTTGCGAGCTTGACGGCCGGTTGGGGGGCTGCTGGTTTGCGAGCTGGCCGGCGAGCTTGACGGCCGGGTGCTCGGGGGCATGCAGTTTCGGGTGCTGGTGGATGCTGTTTTGCGAGCTTGACGGCTGGGTGCTGGGGGCATGCAGTTTGGGGTGCTGGTGGATGCTGTTTTGTTTTTCGAGCTGGCCGTTTGCTAGGGGCATGCAGTTTGGGGTGCTGGTGGATGCTGTTTTGCGAGCTTGACGGCCGGGTGCTGGGGGGCATGCAGTTTGGGCTGCTGGTGGATGCTGTTTTGCGAGCTGGCCGGGTGCTAGGGGGCATGCAGTTTGGGGTGCTGGTGGATGCTGTTTTGCGGCTTGACGGCCGGTTCTGGGGGGGATGCAGTTTGGGGTGCTGGTGGATGCTGCTTTGCGAGCTTGACGGCCGGGCTAAGGGGCATGCAGTTTGAGGCGCGGGTGGATGCCGGGTGCTAGGGGGCATGTTTGGGGTGCTGGTGGATGCTGTTCGCGTGTAACGGATCGTGGCTGGTGTATCGTCATGATGTTCCCACGTTATGGTGTGTGGGTGTAGTGGCGCCGTGATGCTGTCAACATCAGGATGATGCAGAATTTCATTAAGCTGTCGCAAGATGGTTCGTGGCTGTGGTATCATCATGATGCTGCCTTTACCATCAGCATGATGCTGTTCGCATCACCATGATGCTGTCCGCATCACCATGATGCTGTCCGCATCATCATGATGCTGTCGAACTCATCAGGACCTTGTTTTTGCTTTTTCCTGCCGGATTGCTCTCAAAATCATCATTATGCTGCTGATCTCATTAGGACGTTGTCTGCGCGTTTGCTTCGTGGCTGTGGTGTCATCATGGTCTACATCATCATGATAATGCTGCGTCATGGCTCGTATCCGTGGTGTGCTATCTGGGGTCTATGCTGGTGTTATTTTTTGTTTTTTTTGGGCAACCGGGGAATCCAGGAATGGCTGTTTGTGGCATGTTCAAAAAATGACCCCTTCGAAATTAGAGAGCTTGTTATATTTGTTTTCCGGCGGGTTCGATTTTTCTCGAGGCCAACGGGGAGCAGGCGGTACTGCACGCGTCGGCGCGGCAGATTGACATGCAGGACAGGGTTCAAAAGCCTCCGAAGAGGTGTCCAAATGGAGGCTGAAGGTGGTGTTACTCCTTTTCGAAAGCTTGGGCCTTTCACAAGGAGATCCAACTTGAGCAAATGGGCGGTTTCCGGGATCCATCTCTGCCCATAAGGGAAGCTCCAAACGTGGAAGCCGATCGTTTCAATCCAATCCACCAGTAAATTGATCAGCTCTTGAAATGACAACTTCCTGGTGGATTTGCCGGATTTGCCCAATGCTTTCTGCTAAAGCGCCATTGGCTGCAATATCCGACCTACTCGCACACCAACACCTAGGTAAGACTAAAGTTTGCTTGTTTCTGGTGCTTTTGCTCCCAAGAACTGTGGCTGGGCGTGAACACGGGGTTTGCCTTGGAGGGATGTAGCGCAGTTCACTTGTTCCCAGGGTTCTGAGGATGTGCTTTGGGTGAAATCACTAAAGTGGGTGTGAACTTTATTCGGGGACCCGAGGTGGACATCATTAAGGTGGGGATGTATGTCCACGAATCGCTTTTCAGGGGGTTCCCCATTAACATTCACAGCCCAATCATGATGGCAACGATTCTAATCCTAGGTCGAGGCTTGAACAATGAGCCAGGTAAGGTTGACCCCGGATTCATAGACCCGTCCTATGAACAAGGGTTTGCTCCCACGAAGTGATGAATCCCCACTCATCCGAGGACATTTTTCCTTTAAACCAGCCGGACATTTATATCGATCTGGCCCGAGGGTTCCCATGAGTTTTTGTCGGACCCCACGACCAAAAGCGAGACGACCACCCTTTTTCCGCCCCAATGGTAAGTTATGGTAGAGACTTGGTAGCGAACCGAGGAAGCCTGAGGAAGGATAATTCGTGTTTAAAGCCCGGATGTATATAAAAGCCCGGATGTGTATATTAATATAGATAATCCCAACCAAAAGCGACGCATCGAGTCCCACGCGCTTTGCGACGGGCCGCCGCGCCGCCGCGCCGTCAGACCTCCGCTCTGCGGAAGCGGCTGGCGCAGATGGGCACGGAGTTGGCCGAGAAGGAGGCGCCACGGCAAAAGGCATTTGGTGGTTTCGAGGGTGTGTTGGGACCCTATTGGCTCTGTAAATGCCAACCAACCATGGTTTCAACCAGGGTTTCTTGGGTGGTGCGAAACGGATTTCGCCCATCCACAGTATTGCTGGTTTTCCCAGCCATCTGGATCGTTGGGGATTTTATCACTTAAAGGCCCTCATATTGAAGAGGCCAATGGCCCATTGCTTAGGTTCGCCTCTTGGAGGGCAATGTGTTGGGAAGCCTGGTACTTGGAACTTCAAACTTTGTAAACCAACCCGAAGCACACCCTAAACCCACACCAAGCACTACAAGAGCTCATCACCAGTCCAAACCAGAAATGGATTACCGACGCACCAAGCCAACCAGCCCACCTTCCCATTTTGTAAGCCAACCCTAAGCAAAGCCTAAACCCACACGAATGTCCAGCCTCCAAACCCATCCCAAAAGAAATCCCTAGTACCAAGACGCTTCTTTGAGATAGGGATCAACCTCCTTCTCCTTTGGGTTGGTAGGTCAAAAATATCCCCTGGGAGCTGGATGAGATCAACCAGCCACACGCATCCTCACCACGCTATGCCTTTGGTTGCTTCTTGAATGCACACCATTTGGTCACTTGAGTTGTTGCTTAATGTGTGGGGTGGTTTTTTTGGACAGAAAGGCGCTCCGCCTGCAAGCTTGCTTGGTGCCCATTCCGTCCCTGAGGAGGAGTTGCAGGCTATGCAGGAGGCTGGGCAGTCCGGCAGTTGCACGCAAGTGGGAGTTCAGCTTAAGGCCATCTAAGTTCAGGGCACATAGAAAGCACATCTATAAGAGGGCGTAACTCCTATGGAAACATCCGGTGAAACTTGCCAAGTGCCAAGCTACGAACCGGTTTCAGGGGCAGAGCCACTCTCCACGCGAGAAAACCAAAATAAAGAGATGTTGAAGAAAGGGTGGTTTGGGCAACATTCTGTAATTTTCAAGGCCCCAACACGGCTGGTTTCTTGTTGGCTTTCCTGGAAAAAGCCGGACAAGCATCTCTGAAAACGAGACGCGCTTGGCGAGGCCTGCCAGCATGGCAGCAATGCCTTGAAAGCCAAAGAGCAACAGCACAAGGCGATGCTCGAAAAGCACAAGGCGGGACTTGGGGGCGGAGGCTAAGAGGGGGGGGGTTGGGTTGTCGTTTGGTGGGAGGGGGTTTGGGCGGATTGGTGCTCGCCATGCAGTATTTGTTTCAAAGTGTGTGTGTGTGTGTGTGTGTCCTTTTGAGGGTGAAGCCCTTGTGGACGAGCAAGAGGGTGCCCCTTGTTTTTCCTTATGCCCACTGCGGGTCTTGGAGGCAGGTAGGTGGGGGGCTTGAAAAATTGTCGGCTGCGCGGTTTTGAGGGGGAAGGCTTTTCAGTTTGCTTAGGGAAAACGATGAAAAGGACGAAGGGAAGCCACCCCAGAGTGGAACAACACCCAAGGCGCAGACGCACTTACGTCTTACAATGCTACTGCTGGCATGCATGGTTCCATCCCTCCATCCCATTTCCTTACATTCCAGCAAAGGTTTTGATGCTTCCACCCCGTTCAGTTGTAGGCAATGGTGTTTTCTTGGGTTGGTAGAAAAAACTCAGCTGATTGACCAGGGCCTCGTTCCCCTTCACATCCCATATGTCTAGTCATTTGGGTATGTTTTTCAGGCAAGCCGTCCCTCACAAAATAATGCTTTTCGTTTTGGTGTCCCTTTAAACCAACCCCAAGCAAGGGTCCCTCCAAAACAGACGCATTTGTTTGTGGACATCCTTTTGCGGGGCATCCTTCGAAGTATCTGCACTGAGGATGGTTCTATGTTGGTACAGTTATTTGTCCAGTACGGATCCCCTTGGGTTGCGGCATCAAAAGGTCGACCTACTAAGTATTTTGGACAAGCAGGCAAGTTGTTTTTCAAACACCAAGCTTTGAAGTCATGGTGTTCTGCTTATGCCTTAAATGGCAGATGGCCAATACAGGAGCAAAGCACATTGTCGAGGTTGAAAGCTTGGAGCTCGGAATCGGGCAGTGTTCGAATGCGTTTGTGTGGGATGGTTCACTCCTGGATGGCTTTAACAAGCACCTGCGGCTTTTCCCCGGAGGTGTTTGGTTTCCATGCAGTTTCAGCGGGTTAGACATATTCTTAGTTGCGACTTGGCGACTTTAGAAGGCTTGCGGCCCCCATGAAGAAATTCACCCAGATTTATGTTGCCAGAGTAGCATGGTTGACTGAAAGTTTCCTCACTTCCTGAGTTCGGAGTCTTTTCTTTTTGGGAAATACCATCGTAGTGGTAGCTAAAAAATGGTTGCTTGCTTGGGCCCATCCACTCGGGAAGTGGGTGTAGATACTGAGTAGAGAGGGCTGGCGGTTCACAGGTAGCTTTGTTAGAGACCTTTGGCTTCAAAAAACCCGATTGCCCAGTGGGTTGCTTCCTGTTTTCCTTTCTTTTGGGAAGGGTTCCCTTTTAAAGTCCAGCAACCAAAGAAGATGCCCTTTTTTCCCATGGCAATCCACTGAGCGTCTGAGAAAACTGGCTGCAAGGCGCAAGATGAGCAGGTGAAGAAGCTGCAGACGGATAGCCACCAGCTACAACGACACCTCTCCATCGACCACTGGCGCCATCAGGCCATACGGCGACCGGACCAATCTCTGGAACGGGCGGGGGTCTTTCTGAAAAGCCAACCGGTTAGAACCATGTTTTCGAAGGATGATTCAGCCAAGTGCGGGAGCCGTTGCATTTGCCGTTTGCAATCAAAATGATTTCATGCATGTCAACTCCCTGCAATGGATATATGACATACATGAACATGTCCCCTATAGTTTCAAACCTGTCTCGTACTGTCATAAAGGGAGTTGCGCCATCTTTTTTCAGCCTGGAGCATTTGTAACAGCATATGTGCAAGGGTCAAAACACGTTATGTAGAGGTCTTCATTGCGGCCGCCGTGACTTATAACTGTTTTTTGAAAAACATGTGTGTAGCGACAGGGGGCCTTGAGTAGCGACACCCCTGTTTAGGGCTTGCATGTATGTAAGTCCCCATGGAACATGTTTGTAAGTACCTTTTGTACGTGCTGAACACATCGTGGAAGTCTAAGTCCCGGCTGCGACGCAAGACAGGTTTGAAGGATCTCGTCTTGGCAGTTTGAGCGTTCCAGTTTAAGAGGTGCTCCGTCGCCTTGGCGGGAACAGGCGACGATGCAAGCAAAAAAGAGGCACTGTGCTTTTGAAGTAGGGTTCCGGCAGCCCCTCGGAAAAAATCCGGCACCCGTAGCGACACCCAAAGCGACACCTTTCAGATTATGGAGCGACACCCAAAATCCCTTCAGGTAGGCAGTTGCCCCTTCGCGTACTACACGTGTACTACAAAGTTGCGATTTTCGAGCTGGGGCTGCAGACGTGTACTTCGCGTGCTACACTTGTACTACAAAGCTGCGATTTTCAAGCTGGGGCTGCGGACCCGTGTGTCGAGCAAGCACTACCATCTCTTCCGCAGTAGCCCATGGGGAAAAGGCATGAAAGGAAGGAGGTTGAGGCAAGCCTCATGTACTACTTTGGTGCGGAAAAGCTGAGACTTTCCAGCCGAGATGCGAGAAATGAGCTGGCACTGTGTGTAGCGACAGGGGGCCTTGAAGAGCGACACCCCGGCCGGCCGTGACAGCCAACCACAACACATGTTTTGACCGCCGCACATATATTGTCATATTATGTATGCTAGAAGTGGGAACCCACTCATTTTTGGGTGACTCGAGGGAAGGAATCCAAACGGTGGAGCCCGTGGGTTTTGAAGCCGAGCCAAGACAACTCGATCCACGTCCGTTTGGGTTAAGAGCTTCCCAGAAACCTTTGGTTTGGAATCCCGCTCCTCTTAGTGAATACTCCTTACCAAGGCGAGCCCTGCTGCTTGATTACTGTATCTTTCATCAATAGGCTCTGACCGGTGTCGAACCTGCGGCATCTCCATGTTGGCTGACCCTAGCGGGTTCTAGTAAATGAGGTCTGGTCGCATTTCCAGGTGGATTGCAGAATTGAACCCGTGGGTGGGCAAATGGACGTTCCACCCAACTTCCACATCTCCCCACATCAGCCTCCCCGCCTCCAACACGACACCTGTTTGTAGATTCAATCCTCCCAACCTCCACACTCCCAACCACTCCAAACAGCCCCAACCAAGTTCCGAACCAAAGTTCCGAGTGTCAAAATTCGGGCCCCTTTTTTTCAGATGTGTGTGTGTGTGTGTTTGGGGGGGGTGGTTGAGGGGGGTATGCTCTCGAGATCGCCAGGTGGAGGCCCTGGTGGAGCAGGAGAAGCAGGAGGCGCATTTGGTGAAGCAGCGCCGGGAGAAGCAGCGCCAGGTGGAAGCCTTCAACGAGGCGCCGCGCGGGGAGCTTGGGACTCGGAGATCGGCGCTCGAACTCCGCGGGGCGCGGGGACGTGTTAGTTGTGTGTGTTTTTTTTTGATGTTTTTTTTTTTTTTTTAGTCTCTGCTCAAGCGCCTTCCAGCAGGCGAGACGGAGCAGGCCGAGGCTTGAGGTGTAGTTTCCCACTTTGCGCGCCATGCACCTTGAGCCGGACCTTCGCGCCGCACACGGCGCGTTGGTCAATGCAGTTGTGCTCGTCGCCGGACGAGGCACACATGTGTTGGGCATTTTGCCCCTGAGCCGCCAGGCCTGCCGCATTTGCACTGAGGACCCTTGCCCGGATGGGGTTGTTGCCCTCTTGCAGTTTGAGGTGCAGTGCGTAGATGACCAGGTTTACCTCTGCCAGCACAGCCTTGGAGTGATTCACCCGCATAAGCCTGCCCAGCTCCCTTTCTTGACCCAGGTCATTGAACTGTGTGCTGGCATTGCTGCCACGTCCCAAGGTGCCAAGCAAGCTGGATTTGTGCCCACGGTTGCTGTGGAATGGAGGCCACCAATCCATAAGTTGCTACGAGCCAACTTTGAAGGTGAGGCTTTGCTGGCGGACATCACATGTCCGAGCACCGTTGCCAAAATCGCCACCGTTTGCCATGGTGCACAAAGCCTCACAGCAGGCGTGGCATGTCAGCCATACAGCCGCGGAGGAGATGGCTTCAAAGGTCAGGACCAACGTGCAGGTACCCTCCCGTGGACCTTGCTCACATCGTATCTCCTAGGCTGCCACATAACCATCCTGGAATGCGTTGCTGAAGCCCATACCGATAGCTATGTTCAAGCCCACATCCGGCAATTTTGTGAGAGCACAGGCAGTGAGTGCTCGCAAACTGTCATGCAGCTGTCACAGGTATGGCCTTGCCGTAGGAGCCGATGGTGGTGTGTGATCACCTCCCCAGCACTAGGTAAGATCCCGCTTAAGCAATGGATCGAGGACAGCACAAAGCAATCCATCCGAACCGTGATGCCAACCACCCCTGAGTGGCCAGCAGCAGATGTGGCACAGCTTGAGCTCGATGCCTATGAGCTCAGGAACTTCCATGAAAACTCGCCAGGATTGCAACAGCTCGAGGTCGATCTTAGCCATGTGTTCCCAACCGCTCTCCACTCCTGGGGAAACCAGCTGCAGGGTTGCCGCTGTGGGTGCCGATCCGATGGCTTTCGCCATGAGAGAATTGAAGCCAGAGGCCTATGGACACCTCTCTTCCGGTTGGAAGGTGAATGCTGCATTGAGGGAGTCCAATGGCCCAGATACCGACATCCGCATCCCGCTGAAGTGGCCATCCTGTCTGGCATGATGCCGTTGGAATGCACAAGCGGCGATCAAAGACTTGACCTTTGTGCTGTGGGTCAATTAGCATCGCCAATGCAAAGCCTGTGGATTTTCTCGCAAGTGCACAGCTGGGCCATCAATAGGTTTGGGTTGCCACCGATGCTTGCCTCGCCAATGCAATTGCTTGCTATGTTCAAGCAAAAGCTGGTAGCCACGTGCCAGGCCCTGCTGGCACCATGCATCCCAAGGCAGATCTCACATGCCTGTGAATCTCAGGAATTTGAGGACGCTATCATGGCAGACCTCAATGAGCCCATGCTGGAGCCCACGTGCTGGGTGGTTGGCCCAGGCACGCAAGCTGCCATACCCGTTAGATTCAGCATTGGAACCACTGTTGGTCAGCTTGAGCAAGCCGAATGTAAGCTCACTCATTGGACACCATCCCATGGGGAGGTCATCAGCACCACCTCGCAGATGCCAGTTGCAACGCATGAGCTCCTTCAGTCTGAGCAGTGTATTTGCATTTCCGTAGGCCCCCCAGCCATGCCTGAATCCCGCGGGATTTTCCCTCCAACCACACCAGTTGAAATGGGAACTTTGCCAGCCACCACCCAGCTTGTTGCCGAGGCATCCCCGATTATGAGCACCATGAACCAATACCTGTCCATCCGAGCTGACAATATCACGACCAAGCAGCGGGCACACCTGGCCGCCGCCAGAGGTCCCATTTGGGCCGATGATGAGATGCATTTCCATCTCCACGTCATTGCCCAACATGCATGTGAGCAGCACAGGATTGTAGTGCTTGACCCGTTAATCACCACAACTGCCTATGAGCATGACTCTGAGATACTCCGCCAATGGAGAAACAGCGTCAACCCGCAGGAAGACACCATCGCCATCACCGCGTTGCGACTGGAAGGACACTGGATCCCGATCCTGGTACGCTTCGGTCCTCGCATCACTCTTACCACATCAGCTTCCGATACGCAATCGGTTGAGGCAGTGCGCCAAGTTGGCCAGCTGATCCAGGGTGACCAAGTGCAAGCAATCCTTGAGCACCTCTCAGGTCCCTGCGGACCCTATGGCACATGCGGCCCGGCCGCTATCATCTGCATCCACCAGCACCTCACCAACCTGCCCAGCCCAGCCACGCCTTTCCTACAACAATGCTGGCAGATGCGTCAAACGTTCATGCAGTACCTTGCCACCAGGTCTTTCTGCCCCGTCCCTTGCATTTGGGGAGCAGGCAGTAGGAGCGCTTCCGACCCCATCGAAGAGGACTCCCCCGTGTATCCAGGAGCCTTCAGTTCTGGACATGCTCATGACACAGCAATCAGGACATGCTGGGCAGTCGGCCCAGGCACGCAGGTTCCAACTCCCGTCAGCTTCCGTGCAGGAGCAACAATCGAGCATCTCCAACAGGCCGAAAGCCACCTGGCCAACTTTGCCGCCGACCAAGGGACCCAGGTCAGTGCCACACTGTTACCACCAGCCACTGCCAGTGATCCCATCCGGGACAACCAGCGCATCTATCTGTCCACAGCCACGTGTGCCGGTGGAGTTCAACTCCCAGCTGATCTCAATGACAGGCTCGAGCCTGTCGCACCCCATGGACCACCAGCCCTTTCCGGAATTGCCAACACGCCAGCTCCACGTGCGGAATCATTGCTACAGTGCCTGGCACTCAGGGCCCACTGCATCCCGGCCCTGCATAGGCTCCAACTCGTGGAGACAAACGGGCCACTGTGGGCCGATGATGAGATGTACTTCCACCTCAGCCAAATCCCACAGGACTTAGGGCACCCTGAATGGCTAGTCGTCCTGGACCCGCTCATACCAACCACTGCGTACGAGCAGCAAGTGCCCACCCTCCGTCAGTGGGCGGACAGCTCCCAGCTTGCGTTCAACACACATGTCATCACCGCCCTGCGGGTTCAAGGGCATTGGGTGCCGATCATCATCCAATATGGAGCGCAGGTGAGAGTCATCTTCTACGATGCCACCACAGTGCACATTGATGCAGTGCATCAGATAGCCAATCTGCTGCAGGTAGCAGATCCCACCCCAATTGAGATCGCCTACAGGCCTAGACCTGTGCATCCATTCGGCATGTGTGGGCCGGTGGCCATTCTTTGCATCCGTGACTTCCTCAATTGCCCAAGCATGCAATCTGATGATCTAGTGCAACAGAGCTGGCAAATGCGTCAGCTGTTTACCCGACTGTTGGAGGCCAAGGCCACCTGCCTTGCCCCATCTGTTTGGGGAGCAGGGGGGGATGCAGACCAGCTGCAGGTCCAACTTGCCTCCGTCCTGGAGGCCCACGGAGTGCCAAGCAACCTGAGCCATGATCGCGCACGGCTCGGATTGCATGCCATCGGTGTGACACCAATCCAGCAAGCCATCACCTCCAAGGCCCAGTGGAAGGCACTCAAGGTAGTGGGTTCGCAAGCCAAATTTCAGTGGATCCGACCGGATGAGCTGCAAGCGCAGGTTGATCAGCGTGCAGCCACAGGTCAAGCCGTAGGCCGGAAGAACAAACGCCCGAGCCCAAAGGAAACCGCAACCGCACAGGTTCAGGTACAGGTGCCGGCTACCCAGGTCATCATCAATAAGGGCACCTTTGTGCAGGAGCCTGATATCCCCCTTGGTGCTATCCAGCTGCAACAAGTAGGACCTTGCGTTGCAGGTGTTGCCGTCCTCAATGAAGGTGAAGCTGAACCATACCTCCGCAATGGACGAAGTATATCGTCCCAGGCCTTTGCAGCAATCGTGCTGAAGCCACTCAAGGATCTCATGAGCACTAAGCTCCCGTGCGAAGAGATTCAATTCCCTGCCATGTGTGCCGTTACGGGCGAAGCCATCATTTTGCGAGGCACGCTCATCCAACTAGGTGAGAAGAAAGTCCTTCGCCCCAAGCCGGCCAAATTGTTGCAGGTTGAGGTAGTCCCCTCGGTAGCATTCAGGTTCACGGTATACCGAGACCAAATCGAAGGGGAATGGTCAGAAGTGATCGCCAAGCCAATCAGGTACATCACGGATCACGTTCCACTCCTCACCTTGTGCAAAGAGCCAGCTTGTGAATGCCCTGCCTGGCATAACCAGCAGAAACTCCCCACCCAGCAATCCTGGACCTGTGGAAGCGGGCTTTCCTCACCAGTGGATTCAAGCAGACCGCTCCTCAGAGAGCCGACATCTTCTGTGTGAACATTCGTATCCCTCTCATCCTCATTGATGAGATCCAGACATCCGCTGGTCAGGCTGGCATCTACATGGAACCCAAAGCAGAGGATGGGCGATTGGCCCACCCGGATTACCAAGTCGTCTGGATACCCAAAGTATCACTTAGGGAAGCCCAGATGACCAAGCAGGCCAACCTGACCGCGACATGTGTCGCACGCAATGGAGACCGGTATGGTGTCCGAACCAGGATCCAGCATGCCCCGGCTCTCCACAAGCAGCTCCGGCCAGACGTTCCATTCCTGGGCAGTGCCGACCGCACTGAATACGAGGTTGGGCCTTTCCCTCGAGGAACCCAGCGCGAAGCCATCATCAAGCTGTTCCAAGAGTGGGGATGGCATGCCAGGCCAATCACAGCCGTCACCACCAACACGCTTGGCACCACCTGGAAAGTGCAAGCTACACTACCACCACCGTCCTCCACAGTTGATCTGGCCCACGGCAG